GTGAGAGACCCAGAAAAAGTTCCTGGCTCTTGACTTTGGATTGGCTCAGTTCAGGCCATTGCGGCCATTTGGGCAAAGAACCAGCGGATGGAGGACCTTTCTCTTTGTGTCTCTACCTCTCTCTGTAACTCTTTCAAATAAGTAAAAATAAATCTTTAAAAAAAAACCCTGAAGGACAAGGTATGACTTACAGTCTGACAAATACCAGTAGTGTATCAATTTCCAATGGAAAGACTGGTGGAGTACTTGAAGATCTGGTTCAAGCCTAGATCTTTAAAAGAATTTTAGCCTAATGCTTTATAATAGTATGGCCTTACAATTTTACAAGGCCCATTAACAGATCTTTTCTGGTGATGAAAAGTAAGTATAACAAGGTGGCACATACAGGTGAGCAGTTTTTCAGAACTTCTTCACTGCAACTCATGGTACGAAATACGAAGATGCAAGAAAAACACATATATGAAGAGTACTTCAAAAAGTTTGTAAGAAAATGGAATTAAAAGACAAGTTTATTTTGGTGCAAAAACTTTTTGAAATCCATGCATAGTTTATTTCATAATATACATTTTTCATGACCTTTCTGAAGACTTACTAACATTTTAAATTTTATTTTGCTGTTTTTTTTTTTAATTTTTTTTTTGTCAGGCAGAGTGGACAGTGAGAGACAGAGACAGAGAGAAAGGTCTTCATTTGCCGTTGGTTCACCCTCCAATGGCCACCGTAGCTGGCCCGCTGCAGCCCGCATACCGCACTGATCTGAAGGCAGGAGCCAGGTGCTTCCTCCTGGTCTCCCATGGGGTGCAGGCGCCCAAGCACTTGAGCCATCCTCCACTGCACTCCCGGGCCACAGCAGAGAGCTGGACTGGAAGAGGGGCAACTGGGACAGAATTCAGCGCCCTGACCGGGACTAGAACCCGGTGTGCCGGCGCCACAAGGCGGAGGATTAGCCTCGTGAGCCGCAGCGCCGGCCTTATTTTGCTTTTTAAAAATGCTGCTTATGAGCCATTAAATTAATTTCACAGCCTATTACATGTACTAAAACCAAAAATTTGAAAAACACTGGTCTAGATTACTGTTAAGGGCTGGTATCGCATACACTGCCTTGTGCAAATTTTACTTTAGATTTGGCAGATTAAGAAAAACTTTGAACCTGTCCCATACTTTTCTTTTTTTAATTTCAGAGGCAAACGAAGAGTGAGTGAGAGAGAATTTCAGAGGCAGAGAGCGAGAGAGTGAGTTCCCCCATCTACTAGTTCATTTTCCAAATGCTTGCCAAGGGTGATGGTCAAAGTCAGGAGAAGTATACTTAACCCAGGTCTCCCATATGGGTGAGCTCAATTCTTGAGCCAATACTGCTGCCTCTCAGGGTTCATGTTGGCAGGAAACTGGAACCAGGATCCAGAGCTGGGTGTTGAATTCAGGCACTTTGAAGTGGGATATGGATGTCCTAGACAGCATCTTAATGCGTAAGTCAAACACCAGCCCTTACACCCCCTACCTCCTGTTAGTGGAACTGCCTTCTCCCCCACACAGCTACACCAAATCTCTCCACAAATCTCCAAGTCAGTAATTTTTTAAATGGCATTAGGACAAAAGTTTAGTGCATTGATGGTATTGGATGGTTATACCTGAAATATCCCTTTCAATTACAATGAATACAATTAAAATTATCTTAATGACCTCCACCAGCCTAGCACCGACTGATTATCTTTGCCAGGTATGCCTCTATGCCAGCCAGTAAAGGGAGACTCCCAGCATCAGATATCATTGCCCCAACATGAACTTGCTGGCCAGTGACTGATGCTTGTTGATTTATTCATCCGTTCCTCTGTGAGGAGCCTCTTCCTTCTGTTGAGCTTTTCTGTATGAGGAGGTAATACTCATGTTTCTTTAAGGCTGCAGCAGCATGAAGGGTGAGAAGGCAGGGATAAACGTACCTGGTTTAAATGGGAATGTGACCCCGTCACCAGAACTGTCAGTGGAGCCCGAGTTAGCGTCTGCTCCTTCACCCTCAGACACACTCTCAGCACCATTGCGCACAGGCTCAGCTGCTTCTCCATTTTCTTCCACAGCTCTCGCTGTCTTTAGGTCAGAAGGATCTCTTTCAGGATGAAACCCTTGGCTCATTTTATCCTGCTCACATTCAAGTACTTTGTCAACTGAAAGCTCCTCTTCGGCTTTAGGCTAAATTGTCAGTGAACACAGAAGTTATCTATTTTTCATGTGAATAAATACAAGTGAAGACCTGTACCTACTCCTCAGAAAACAGAGGAACACATGCCACCCCAGATAACAATGTCTGTGTTTGGCACATGGTACTAAACAGTTAAGTTTTTAAAAAACAATTTCTCATTGCAGCACTTGAGATAAGGCAAACAATCAACTCCCTACAGAAATGCTTTAAAACAAGATTAATGAAATCCAAATATACCAAAGGTTAATATGGAAAGAACTGTTAATCCTTGGAACGTGATGGACAGGAAAGAATTCTAGTCAGAAGTCTAAAACAAGCACCCCAAACGTTGCCACCAAAGCTCAGCAAATATGAAAAGAAACACTGTGGTGTGTTTACGTGCTGCCCTCTGGCTGTGAAATGGAGAGTTCAGGAACAGTCTGAAATATCTAAGTCCTAGAAATCTGATGCTCTTCATTTTACAAGCAAGCTACTTGCAAATGCTCAGAGCATACAACCCAGGGAGAAATCTCGATTCTGGAGCAACAAGTCTATTTTTTTTTTTTAATTTGACAGGTAGAATTAGACAGTGAGAGAGACAGAGAGAGAGAGGCAGAGAGAAAGGTCTTCCTTTTCCGTTGGTTTACCCCCTAATGGCTGCTGCGGCCAGCGCGCTGTGGCCAGCGCACCGCGCTAATCCAAAGCCAGGATCCAGGTGCCTCCTCCTAGTCTCCCATGGGGTGCAGGGCCCAAGCACTTGGGCCATCCTCCACTGCACTCCAGGGCCACAGCAGAGAGCTGGACAGGAAGAGGAGCAACTGGGACAGAATCCGGCGCCCCGACCGGGACTAGAACCCGGTGTGCCGGCGCCGCAAGGTGGAGGATTAGCCTAGTGAGCCGCGGCACCAGCCTACCAAGTCTATTTTTAAAAGGCAAAGAAGAATCAAAGTTATCCCCCAGAATGGTTTTGACCTTCATGGTGTCAAATGGCTTTCTAAGGTCCTCAAGAGCCTTCAGCATTCACCAGGGCAACATCTGTGCTGAGTGTTATGGCTCGCTCTTTGTCGTGAGGACCACAGGCTCTGAAAACAATCCTTTGGAATGAGCCTTCAGAGGAAAGAGGCATCCAGCTGATAACTTCACGCTACATAAAGTCAAACACTGCGACTGGTTAGCAGAGGATCATCTAAGAGTGTTCTAACAGGGGTCACCCCAAATGATTTATGAAATTAGGTTGGGAAAAAAACCCATTTGAGTGACAAACCCTACTTTGGTATATAAGAGAAGTAATGTAACAGATATAATTCTCATAAATTTTCTCCAACCATAAATTAGATCATGGAGAAAAAACACTAAAATTTAAAATGTTATCAACAGAAACAGATGGCTTTTAGGCTGTTACTCAATAATGGAAATAAAGTATGGAATTAAACTTAGAAAAAGTAAAAAAAAATGAAATGTGGGTATGATTTTGTCTTATAAAACACGGCAGAAGGCAGGCATCTTAAATTCTGAGAGAAACAGTTTTACCAAATTTGAATATAGATCAGCAAGCAGCTTCACTTTAAAAAATATTTATTTATTTATTTGAAAGTCAGAATTACAGACAAAGGAGGAGAGACAGAGATCTTCCACCTGCTGGTTCATACCCCAAGGTGGCTGCAATACCCAGGTCTGAGCCAGGCCAAAGCCTTGAGCCAGGAGGAGCTTCAGCCAGGTCTCCCACATAGGTGGCAGGGGCCGAAGTACTTGGGCCATTTTTTGCTGCGTTTCCTAAGCCATCAGCAGGGAGCTGGATCGGAAATGAAGCAGCGGGAGTGTGACCCAGCGCCCATATGAGATGTCGGTGTCACATGTGGGAGCTTTACCTGCTATGCCACAATGTCGGCCCCCAGCTTCATTTTTCAAAATTTCATACTCTACTATTGTCTAAAATAATTTATAATGATCTTGACTATCACCTTATAATTAAGTACTGGTCATCAAAAATATTTTTAATAATTTGGGTTTATAAGTATATGCATAGTACTACAGAACAGGCTAATTACATCATATAATCATACAGAATTCTTATTTCATAGCTTGCAAAAATTTGGAAAAAATGTGATTTTTAGAGAAGGAAATATATTGGGTCCCCTTCACTATACAAAAACCCATGAAAGACCATTTATTGCATATACAGAGAGACTATACCGCATAGAAATTCAATTTCTACCTGGAAAAATAAATATGAAGACTTATATCCCACAAACAACAAAACAAAATTCAGAGAACACAGAATCACTGAAGTGTTTGACGGACGTTGTTATGAAGGATACTTCAAAGGACTCAACAACAATAGCTGCCTTAAATGGTTATGACAGGTTGAAACCCCACTGAAGTAGTGTGTAGGCTTCCAACAGTTCTAAACTGATTACTGAAAAAAACCAGATTGAAGAAAAAGAGTATCTCATTGGCTGAATGGTCAAAGGTGAACCTTTCAAATGAGGAACTTGATGACAAAACTGCCTCCTAATACCCTGACATAAAAATTCATATTTCTGTGTCTACTCAAAAAGTTCTACTGGGAAATATAGCCAGTATTTATTTGTAGATTGTCTAGGGTCGCTTTTGGGTTACTATGGCAGAATTGAGGAACTGTGACATCTACTAGGACTTTCACAGGAAAAGTTTTCTGACCTCTAAGCTCAAGTAGAGGATGAATATCTGACGTACAGGAGTTGTGGCCTATCTGCTTAACACTGAACAAAACTGAGAAATCTGGCATAGCGTAATGAAACTTGAACTATCACAGAAGAAAACTAATAAAAACCAAGCTGAATCTAAAGAGAAATCAGTTTGTGAAGCTCATATAGCCATACCAGGACTGTGTGTGATTCCCCTGCCTCTGGAAGGCTATTTTATTTTCTGTAGAAGCTACATTTTCTTGTTTAGCTGCAAGGAGTGCAGCAACTATTTGGACCTCTATTACTTATGGTCAATTCCTACCCCTGATAACTACAATGAAATCATACCCAGATAACATTTTAGAGGTTGCTATGGGGCTAACTGTGACATCACACAGCATCAAAAGCATTAACAAGACAGAAAAAGTAACAAAGAAATACAACTGCCAGCTGCCTGAAGAGGGTAAGAATTCTAACTAGTTAGAGAAGTTTTATGAAGTAAATGTATTTAATGTTACTGTAGAATAATGTCTACATTTTAACATACCAAAAAAGTAGATATAAAAAAGAAAAAAGAGCTATGTACAGACTGTTTATACCACTTTCCACGTGTAAACTTCAGTACATAATACTATGGAGGTTGAGACTACAGACAAGGACATGTTATAGCAATCTTTAGTTCTGAATTTGTCCTTGTTTCTTCCTCACATTATCTCCTGGACTTGGGATGTTGTATAATATAGAAAAATCGGTGTGGCTTAGTTTAAGATGCATGGTCCGTTTGTGGAAACGTTATGTTACTAGGATGCAGACAAAAGATGACAGATTCCAGGTAAGTTTTGTGATTTCTACCAGGGATGGCTAATGGGCAGTTTTTTTAATTCTTCCTTTTTGTTTACTAGATTAGTCTTTTAATTAGATGAAACTCAAGAAAATTTCAATTAGGGTTATGAGAAGGGTTAACTGAAAGTTTGCCCTTCAGAAGAAATATTTTTGAAGATAAGACACATGTTAACCAAGTGTACACCACACCTGCCTTATGCAACCAAGGGCAGCGCAGCTCTGAGGCTGAGTTACGGAGCTCTGCTCTCCCTTACCTCCAGTTCTGCCTCTGCCATCTCCCCAGGGGTCTGGATCCGATCTTTTGGTTTCTTCCATGTCTTTGGTGCAGTGATAGCTGTTTGAGCTGAAACACAAGATGAGGCCCATTATTTGCCACTGTGAAGTCATACTAGGAAACATCAGGTCTCAAGGATTCCTATATTAAATTCAGCAGAACAAAAGACTTCACCTAGACCAAGGAGATAGTTGGATGATCAAGTGAATGACTGTGTAGATGCAGCTCAGAGATTGCTATGGCAAATATCTCAGGCACAAACTCATAGCTTTCCAATCAGCAGCCAAGGCTTCTCCTATTTTCATGGAAAAGACATACTTAGTTTTGTAAAGCAGTATATGTTGAGGATCCCTAACCTGAAAATGCAAAATTTATAGTATTTTATTTTATTTTGGATTTTCAGACTTAGGACACTCAACTGATAAAAACTAAGCAAATTTCTAATACCTGAAAAGCCCTGAAATATGAAACACTTCTGGAAGCCTTTCTGATAAGGCATATCCCACCTGTAGGTGGTGAATCTCTACATAAGAAAACTGGATTGCGAGTCAGTTCTCAACTTGGGTCCACTTCTGTTAACCAACTTGAGGTCTTAAGAAAGTTACATTTGGCTGGTGCCGCTGCTCACTTGGCTAATCCTCCGCCCACGGCACTGGTACCCCGAGTTCTAGTCCCGGTTGGGGCGCTGGATTCTGTCCCGGTGGCTCCTCTTCCAGTCCACCTCTCTGCTGTGGCATGGGAGTGCAGTGGAGGATGGCCCAAGTGCTTGGGCTCTGTACCCGCATGGGAGACCAGGAGGAAGCACCTGGCTCCTGGTTTCAGATTGGCACAATGCGCCGGCCGTAGCGGCCATTTGGGGGGTGAACCAACAAAAGGAAGACCTTTCTCTCTGTCTCTCTCTCTCTCTCACACTAACTCTGCCTGTTAAAAAAAAAAGAAAGAAAGAAAAAAAAGAAAGTTACATTTATCCTGGCCTCCCATTACTCAGTTAGAAAATATAAGAGTGAGATCTGTTATCTAAGGTTCCTTGAAAATGTAAAGAAATATTATGCTCAAAATTCAGTTTTTTTAAACTTTTTTATACAAGAATTTTCAGATAATAAGTCTACAACATTTAGCATTCATCTCATTTCAAATTTGGCCTAACCTTTCATAGCGCTGGAGAGAAAATAAAGAAAGAAAATACAAAATTTTTACTGAATTATTCTATTTTATCAGAAATTCTAGCTGGAGCAGTAAGTTTACAAAGGACTTAAAAATTCATCTGCCGGGACCGGTGCCATGGCTCACTTGGTTAATCCTCCTCCTGCGGCACCGGCATCCCATATGGGTGACGGGTTCTAGTCCCGGTTGCTCCTCTTCCAGTCCAGCTCTCTGCTGTGGCCCGGGAGGCCAGTGGAGGATGGCCCAAGTGGTTGGGTCCCTGCACCCGCATGGGAGACCATGGCTCCTGGCTTCAGATCAGCGCAGCGCACCGGTCATAGCAGACATTTGGGGGGTGAACCAACGGAAAGAAGACCTCTCTGTCTTACTGTCTAACTTTGCCTAATTAAAAAAAAATTATCTACCTTACAAATTCCATCATATCAGTCAACATCTGAATAAAGAATTTAGAGACTATTTAACCATTGAATAGTAAATAAAAAATATTAAAGAGGATAACGTATGGGTCAATACATAGGTATGAAATATTATAGAGGGTGAGTTGCAAGAAGAGTCAAATATAGGCCACTTAACAGAAACATTTCCAAAAGTGAACATGTATGAAGTTGAAGGTTTATCATCTCATCTGAATTCTTGAAGAAATACAAGATCACTTGTTGAGACTCTGGTACAGTCTCAAATCTTTTCTGGTAGAACAGATTGTGAACACACAAAGTGTTTTTGGGAATAAGGAAAGGAAATGTTTAACAGTTTTCCTTCTCAGAATTACAGCCCTATCATTAAAAAAGTGCATATCTTTGTCTCACACATACACCTAAGCAATTCTTTTTTTAACTTTCCCCTCAGGGACTATAACAAAGAAGACCACATGAGACCAGCTTTTAGTTTTCCTCTGTGGCCTGCTAAAGGCACACCATTTTCTTAAAGTCCAGACACTGTGGGGGTTTAAATCTGCCATGGCCTCACAGACTTCTACTATGTATGTTGTATGTCTGCTTTATATGCAACCTCCAAAAGTACTTGTGATTTTAATTCTGCCTAAAGAAGCCTCCTCCTGGTAAGAGCAAAAATCTTATAGAAACATTCTATTATTTTTAAATATAAAGACAAAAAAAGTATACTGTGAATTCCTAATTTTTGCAAATGTTCAGATGACTGGAAAAAAATTACTTGTTTTATCCTCATAACTCATTTATATTAAATGACTAATGTATCAATTTGGAAAAATATTAAGGACAGATGTAAATTTAATCATTAGGTTTTAGAAAGATTTTTTTAATTAAAAAGATTGATTTATTTGAAAGGCAGAGTAACAGTAAGAGAGGGAGGGGAAGAGAGAGAGAAAAACAATCTTCAATCTACAGATTCACTGGTTCATTCCCCAAATGCCCACATCAGCCAGGTCTCTAGGCCAGGAGCCAGGAACTCCATCCCAGTCTCTCACGTGGGTGCCCGGGACCCAAAAACGTGGGCCACCTTCTGGTGACTTCCTAGGTGCCTTAGCTGGAAGCTGGAATGGAAGCAGAGCAGTCAGAACTCAGACTGGCAATCTGATACGGGATGCCAGCGTTCAAGCAGTGGCTTAACTGCTGCACCACCTCACTGGCCCCGAGTACGAGTTTTTGGTCCTCTCTGCAAAGGTTATAGAATTTATGTCAAGGATTCCATCCAGTTAGGAACACAGCCATTTTCAACTCTTACGCCATGTATGGAATATAGACCCTACAAAATTGTGCCACATCAAGCTAGTAATGATTTTATTTTGATTCAAAAAGAAAGAACACAGCAGTTATATTTTTATGCTATCTGTACGATATATGATGGGACAGGCATTCAGCCTAATGGTTAGGATACCTGCATTAAATATCATAGTAGCTGGATTTAATATCCAGCTCTGACTCCTGACTCCAGCATCCTGCTAATGAAAATGCTGAAGGAAGTGATAACAACACAACTGCTACCCACATGGGAGACCTGGATGAGTTTTCAGCTCCCAGCCTTGGCCTGACCCAGTAATGACCATTGCAGGCATTTGGGGAGTGAGGGAGTGGATGGGATTTTTCTCTGTGCTGTGAGAAAGGGAGAGACAGACAGAGACAGAGACAGAGACAGAGAGAGAGAGACAGAGAGATCAAGACATCTCCATAGATAGAAGACTTTTTCTTTTACATTGTATTCAGGCTGTACTGCTGTGCTGTTGCTACTCTTGCAAATTAACAGCTAACAACTACCTGTACAACTTAGGAGATAACCACTGAATTTGGAAAAAAAGGGCTAGGGCGAACACAGAAGACTCACACATTTACTGGTTTTTATAAAACTCATATATGTTTTAACTCATTTTTATTATTAATTTGACAGCAAGAGAGAGAGAGACAGATAGATGGATGGACAAAGCTCCTCTCTGCGGTTCATTTCTATAGTGTGTATGATGGTAGTCAGGGACAGGACTGATGTGGGCCGAAGTCAGGAGATGGAAACTCAATCCAGGTCTCCAATGCGGGTGGCAGAAGTCCAATCACTGGAGCTACCTACCATCTGCTGCCTCCTAGATTTCGCATTAGCAGAATCTGGAACCAAAGGTAAGAGCCAGAAGCTAGTGCTGTGGTGTAGTACACTAAGGATTCACCTGTGGTGAAAGCATCCCATATGGGCACTGGTTTATATTCCGGCTGCTCCTCTTCCAATCCAGCTCTGTGCTATGGCCTGGAAAAGCAGTAAAAGATGGCCCAAGTCCTTGGGCCCTGCACCCAATGGAGACCCAGAAGCTCCTGGCTCCTGGCTTTGGATCGGCCCAGGTCTGTCATTGCAGCCATTTGGGGAGTGAACCAGCAGATGGAAGACCTTTCTGTCTTTCCTTCTGTCTGTAGCTCAACTTGTCAAATAAATAAATAAATCTTAAAAAAAGAAGGGTATACTGATATAGGGCATGAGTATCTTAGCCAACATCCTAACTACTATGCTAATACCCCACCCACTCCCCTTTAACTCCCCCACCTATCCAACTTTGTGCATTTTTAAAAATTAGAATGCTGAGAAAAATTTTTATGTGAAGTGGGGATTTTACACAGATAGAACAGTCAAGAGTAGTTCAAAGATTTAGTGCGTCCTGAGGAACTACTCTGTGAAACATCAGAGATCTAGAATACTCAATCTCATTTCCTTTACAAAACATCAGTTCTTAAACTCCATCGCTGTTAGTCTAAAATCCTGACTCTGAGAGATGTCAAAATTGTTACATAGTGAGTCAAAGAATAACAAACATTACTGCTATCATGGCACATTACCCCCTTATCTAGATTAGTATTTTTTCTAATCATAAAAAGTAAGACATACGCATTGAAGAATACCTATAAAATACAAACAGAAAGCTGGAGAAACAAAACTATGAGTGTCATCTCTGAGATATGAACATTCCTTCCTGGCATTTAAAAAGGACAACTGCGTATCATGTATTTCACAATTTTTTCTGACTGAACTTTAAACAAGAATTTAAAATTTAATAATTGTTTTATCTGATAGTAGCACCTCTGTGGGAAACACAGATGAAGCTCCAGGCTCCTGGCTTTGGCCTGGGAACCAGCAGCTGGAAGATCTCTCTACCCCTCTCTTTCTCTGTCATTCTGCCTTTCAAATAAATCTTTTAAAAAAAGAGACATAAATGAAAATAATTTGAAAGCAAACAAGTCATAGAGAGATAGTTAAAAAGATTTAACAGGCGGCCAGCACCAAGGCTCAATAGGCTAATTCTCCGCCTGTGGCGCCGGCACACCAGGTTCTAGTCCTGGTCGGGGCGCCAGATTCTGTCCCAGTTGCCCCTCTTCCAGCCCAGCTCTCTGCTATGGCCCAAGTCCTTGGGCCCTGCACCCGCATGGGAGACCAGGAGAAGCACCTGGCTCCTGGCTTCAGATCAGCGCGATGTGCCGGCTGCAGTGCACTGGCTGCAATGGCCATTGGAGGGTGAAACAACGGTAAAGGAAGACCTTTCTCTCTGTCTCTCTCTCTCTGTCTACTCTGCCTGTCCAAAAAAAAAAAAAAAAAAAAAAAAAAAAAAAAAGATATAACACGCAATGAAGCACTACAAAAGAGCTAAAAGTACATGAGCAACAACAAATTGTCTTGTCTGATCTTTAAAAGTCCTCACTGAGGTGGTGTTAAACTGATTCAGTTTCATATCGAGTGACAGGGGCCAAGTCACTGCACCAATGCCTACAAGCTACTTCATGCAGAAAGGATCTGTTGTCTGGCCAATGAGATTCAACTAATGATATCTAACTGCCCCTTTAAGTTCCTGGTTTCTCAGCAAAGCTACTAACCATGGTATCTCTGTTTGCCTGACTGATTCCAAGCTGTCCAACCAGAACTTGCCTGGACAACATCCCTGTGTGTTAGCCCCGGCTCATCTAACTCATAAAGCTCCTCCCAAGCCCCTGCTGGGCAGGCAGATTTGAGTCATTGTTCCTGCCTCTGTCTGGTCAATAACAGAGCCTTTCTCCTACCAAAAGACTGGCATCACAGCCTGAGCTGGGGAGCAAGGGGCAGCAAATCTACCCACCTTGTTCTGTAACATTAGGATTTTTAAAAAGACATTGGGAGGCATATGTTGTGGTGCAGCAGGTTAAGTGTCTGCTTCGGATGCCTGCATCCCATACTGGAGGGCCAATTCAAGTTTCCATGTCACCAAGGTAATGTCACCCAGGCACCTGGCTCATGTAACTACCTGCTGTCATTAAGATATGTGAAGCTTCACTTTTCATTTGTTAAACTAATTAATACAAATGGTCACCCACATTTCGAAGATAATTTAGGATGTTGCCTGTTAAAATCCTGTTATATGAGGGCAAGTTATCATTACACTGAATAAGAACACACATGTAATGGATTTATAAGAGATTTCTTTCAATTGGACTTTTTTAGTGCTCATTGCAGTCTTGTTAATGTTTATTCAATAATACAACTGTTTTCTTTCTTTTCCACATTTGTGCAGAGAATATTCTTGGTTGGCAAGATATTTCTTTACTCAGCAATTAAGTGCCTGAGTGAGCAGACAAGCTGAAAACTTGATGGCATAATAGCCAGGCAAGAGACCCATGATCATGAAAAGTCTCCCTCTAACTCTCCATTCTTTTAGAATGCCACATGAATTCCCTATTTCCCTATTAATGTGTCCAGAGTCTGGATGTCAGGAATTAAGTTGACACAAAACTAAAATAAAGGACACTTCACTGTGGGTGAGGGAAGGGCCCCAAGTGCATTGTCATAGGGTTGTTCATAAACAGAGTAGAATGTTCCAACCATGGAACTTTTACCAGGAATTCTCTCCTGTTTAACAGCCAGTCTTAACTCCTCCTCACTCACTCCTGACATTTTCACTGTACTTGTTTCCTCTTTGAGAGCCTATAAACTGGCACCAAATCATTCTGACTGCATTGAGCTTTGTCCCTCTAGCTCTACTTTCTGTTCCATTCCCTTTTAACTTTCTACTCATTGGAATTTAGGAAAAATGTGATGATTTCGCTAAGAAATTGGAGCAGCACAAAGGAGAAACTCAGGTGAGAAAAGGGCAAGTTTTACAATGAAGATGTAAATGCACAGACAAAAACTAATGATGGTGATAAAACAGTAAGAATGATGGGTCATTGAGAGATGTCAGCCAAAAGAAAAACTATAGAGTAAGTCTGTCGGATTTTCCCCAGCATCTTTTAGGGGTTGCTATTTGAAATGTATGAGGGCTGGCGCTGTGGTGTAGCGGGTAAAGCTGCTGCCTGCAATGCCAGCATCCCATATGGACGCTGGTTTAAGTCCCTGTTGCTCTACTTCCAATCCAGCTTTCTGCTATGGCCTGGGAAAGCTGTGGAAGATGGTCCAAGAACTTGGGCCCCTGCACACACATGGGAGACCTGGAAGAAGCTCCTGGCTCTGGATCGGCATAACTCCAGCCGTTGTGGCCATCAGGGGAGTGAACAGTGGATGGAAGACTTTTTTCTATGTCTTTGCCTCTCTTGGTCTGTAACTCTTTCAAATAAATAAATAAATCTTAAAAAAAAAAAAAAAAAGAAATGTATGTTGGGCTTAATAAGTATGCTTCCTATTGTATCTTTTTTTTAAGATTATTATTTATTTATTTTAAAGGCAGGGTTACAGAGAGAGGCAGAGGCAGAGGCAGAGGCAGAGAGAGAGAGAGAGAGAGAGAGAGAGATCTTTTATTCATTAGTTTACTCCCCAAATGCCTATTACAGCAAGGCTTGGCCAGGCTGAGGCTAGCAGCCCAGACTCCATCTGAGTCTCCCATGTAGCTGGCAGGGACCCAAGTACTCGAACCATCAAATGCTGACACCCAGGATGCATCAGCAGGAACTTGGGCTGTGACTGAGTAGCTGGCACTACCATATGATTGGCACCGGCACTTCCCTAACTTGCTGCGCCACAACGGCTCCCCCATGTCTTCATTTCTGAACCCGATGACTGTGAAACTTCATATGTCCTAAGCAACTTTGCAGATGTGGTAAAATTCAGGGTTTTGAGGTGAGGTGACTACTATCTTGAATGAATCCCATGCTCCAATGTATTCAGAAGTGTCCTTACAGAGAACGGAGGAGGCAGGAGAACTAGAGCTGAGCGTGCTCGGCTGCTGCCTTTGAAAGACATGAAGGGGCCCAGGAATGCAGGGAGTCTCTGAGATGGAAAAGGCAAAGAAACAGATTGTCATGGCACCTAGAGAAGACAGACAGGCCTACTGATGATACCTTGATTTCAGCTCAGGGGAAGCTATTTGAGACTTCTGCCCTCTAAAAATGTAAGATAATAAACTTGTGTTGTTTTAGCCACTAAGTTTGTGGTGACGGATGAACAACAGCAACACAAAATGAATGCAAGAAATACCTGACCAATTTTGATATGTTAGGTTTTCATTTTCATTGAGTTCAAGATGCTTTATAAATTTCTTTTTGATTTTTGTTTTATCTTTCAATGTTTTCTTTCTAAATATTTTGGGGGTTTTCTGGAGATTTTTCTCAGTGAGTTCTAATTTCACTGCACTTTGGTCACAGAACATACCTACTTTAATCAGAATCCTTTTAAACTTAGTAACACTTGTTGTATGAACCACAGTATGGTTTACCTAGGTAAATCTGCCATGTGCAGTTAAAAATAATGCACTAGCATGTTAGTTAAATGCCAGTTAGGTCAAATTGACTGTGCTGTTTCAGTATTCTTTTTATTGATTTATTTATTTTATTTATTGGAAAGAGTTACAGGGAGAGGTAGAGACAGAAAGCGAGGTCTTCCATCCGCTGGTTCACTCCCCAGAAGGCCGTAATGGCCAGAGCTGCACCGATCTGAAGCCAGGAGCCAGAAGCTTCTTCCAGGTCTCCTACTGCTTTCCCAGGTCATACCAGAGAGCTGGATCAGAAGAGGAGCAGCCGGGACTCGAACCGGCGCCCATATGGGATGCCAGCACTTCAGCACTTCAGGCCAGGGCTTTAACCCGCTGCACCACAGCACCAGCCACAGTATTCCTTTTTTTTTTTTTTTTTTTTAAGATTTATTTATTTATTTTAAAGTCGGAGATAGAGAGAGAAGGAGGGAAAGAGATATCTTCCATCTGCTGGTTCATTTCTCAAATGGCTGCAATGGCCAGAGCTGGGACAATCTGAAGCCAGCAGCCAGGAGCTTCTTCTGGGTCTCCCATGCGGGTGCAGGGGCCTAAGCACTTGGGCCACCTTCTGCTGCTTTTCCAGGTGCATTAGCAGGAAGCTGGTCAGAGTGGAGCAGCCAGGACTCGAACTGGCAGCCACATGGGATGATGACATTGCAGGCAGAGGCTTCACCCACTATACCATAGCGTGGGCCCCTGTACCAGTACTTTATATCTTTACTTGTTTTCTTTTTCTTTTTTTAAGATTTATTTTATTTATTTGAAAGAGTTACAGAGAGAGGCAGAGACAGAGAGAGAGGTCTTCCATCCTCTGGTTCACTCCCCAGAGGGCCGCAATGGCCGGAGCTGTGCTGATCCGAAGCCAGGAGCCTCTTCCGGGTCTCTCGCATAGGTGCAGGGACCCAAAGACTTGGGCTATCTTCTACTGCTTTCCCAGGTCATAGCAGAGAGCTGGATTGGAAGAGGAGGAGCAGTCGGGACTTGAACCAGTGCCCATATGGGATGCCGGCGCTTCAAGCCATGGCGTTAACCCGCTGTGCCACAGTGCTGGTCCCTTTAGTTGTTTTCTATTAACTGAGTCTATCAATACTGTGTTTTCCAGTTATATTAATTATTAGTCTCTACTTTATGAATATATGTATTATAGTAATCACACTTAAAACTACTTAATGACTTCTCTGCTAATTCTAGTAACTATGTCAACTGCAATTTGGTTTCAATTGGTTTATTTTCTTCTCAGTATAGGTTGTATTTTTTTATGGTTCACCGGGTGAATTTTGCCAAGTAGCAGAGGAGGAAACAAAATCAATCCTGCATGTACTTTCCCAGAGTATGGAACAGAAGGGGAATACTTACTCACCCTGTGAGGTCAGTACTACCCAGACACCCTAACATGAAATTACCAGAAAACCTGCATCCCTAATAAATTTACATGCTTAAAAGAAAAAAAAGCTAAATAAAATAAATTCTACAATATAAATAATAATATATCCTGATCAAGGTTTATTGCAGGAAAGCTAAGTTAGTTTCATATTCAAGTATCAAATACCAAATTATTAGTTAATAAACCAACAAGAAAAAAAGAAAAGCATAGATTGTATTAGTAGTTGCAGGAAAAGCATTCAACAAAACCCAATATACTTGTATATTCGTCACTAAGGAACCTCTCAGCAAACTAGGAATAAAAAAGAAATTCCTCAAGTAGGCAAATAAAAAACTTATAGCTATGATCATACATAATGGTAAAAGACTGCATGCTTTCTCCCTGGGATCAGGAGCAGGACACAAATACTATTTCTATTTAATACTGTACTAGAATTCTTATCTAGTACAGTTAAGTCAAGAAAAAGAAATAAAAGGCCCATTCAGTGAGAAGTAACACAGATAAGGTGTCTCTGTAAGAAAGCTAACAGGGTGGGTATGGCAGCACAGCAGGTTAAGCCACCACTTCAGAAGCCCGTGTCCCACATCAGAGTGCTGGTTTGTCTTGGCTACTCTGCTTTGGATCTAGCTTCCTGCTAATGAATCTTGTAAGACAACAGTGGCTCAAGTGCTTGGGCTCTTGCCACTCTGGGGAGACCAGGATGACGTTCCAGATTCCTGGCCTCTTCCCTCACCTCCCTGTAACTGCAGTGTTTATCTTGCTTTGCCTTTCAAGTCTGCAGAAAAGGCAAAAGAAAAAAATATACTAATCAAACTGAAAAATTATCAACACATCATGGTTGGTGATTAAACAAGAGTCAACAGAATAGAATGTATAAAGCTTGTTCTCTGCCAGAAACTTGACTCCTATTGACAAGAGTAGGAAGTTGGGACAATTATCTTTTTTAAATTACTTTTAACAAGAGCTAATTGGCCAGTGCTGCGGCTCACTAGGCTAATCCTCCGCCTTGCAGCGCCGGCACACTGGGTTCTAGTCCAGGTCGGGGCGCTGGATTCTGTCCCGGTTGCCCCTCTTCCAGGCCAGCTCTCTGCTGTGGCCAGGGAGTGCAGTGGAGGATGGCCCAAGTACTTGGGCCCTGCACCCCATGGGAAACCAGGAAAAGCACCTGGCTCCTGCCATCGGATCAGCGCGGTGCGCTGGCCACAGCGTGCCAGCCACGGCGGCCATTGGAGGGTGAACCAACGGCAAAAGGAAGACCTTTCTCTCTGTCTCTGTCTCACTGTCCACTCTGCCTGTCAAAAAACAACACAAAATAAGAGCTAATAGAATTCTAAGTGAAGCATGCTTTAAAATTCCTATAATTTGTATGGTAGACTCTCTTACTGATCAGAATTATTTGATTCTCATTCTGCTTCATTTCCTATTCTAACCAAAACATGGATCGGAATCTTGGGGCTTCCCCTTATAAAATCCTCAAAGTCCTGATGTATAGCTGAGATTCAAACATGTCTTAGACATTTTTGCTACAACTCTTTAGTTACTCCGGAAATATTGCCTTTAGGATGATGGTATCTTGATCGTAAATCATTAATCCTTCATTTATGCAGGAAATTAAAAGTTCCAATATTATTTTCAAAACATTTCCTGTGAATATATTTTAATAATAAAGTTTATGTGAGAAGGAGCAAAAGATAAAGAGAGAGCACACATGATCCCATCTGCCAGTTTACTCCCCAAATGCCCATGACAGCCACGACTGGGCCAGGCTGAAGTGTAGAGCTTGGAACTCAATCCTGGTCTCCCCACTCAATGCTGGTCTTCCACATGGGAGCAGGGATCTAAGTACTTCAGCCATCAGCTCTGCTTCCCAGGGTGCACATTAGCAGAAAGCTGGAATTGGGAGTGGAGCCAGGACGCAAACTCAGGTACTCCAATATGGAATGCAGACATCCCAAAAAGCAGGTTAGTTGGTAGACCAACTGACTATGTGTAGATACATTATATCAATTTATATAAACACACAAATATATGTTTTATATAGATTTATATAAGGTATCCTATGTAAATATACACTGAGCGACAGAGAGAGGGAGAGATCCATCTTCCATTCACTGTTTGACTCCCAAGATGGCCACAATGGCCCCCAGCGAGCGAGCAAGCGAGCAAAACTGAGAGATTTCCCATCTGCTAGTTTACTCCCCAAGTGGCCTCAACAGCAAGGGATGGGCCAGGCTGAAGCCAGAAGCCTTGAATTCCATTCAGGTCTCCCACGTGGGTGGTAGGAATCCAGATTCTCTGGTCATCATCCACTGCCCTTCCAGATTCATTGGCAGGTAGAGTAGCCAGCACTTGAACCAGCACTTCAATGTGGACTGTGGATGTCCCAAGTGGCAGTTTAACTGGCTGTACCACAATGCCTGCCCTATAAAATGTATTTTAGTAACAGTTTGCCTCTCTGTGGCTCCTCCAAACATAACTCATTCAAACAGATATATTTTATGTGATAGGTATGTTTAGAAAAAGATGTCTAATTTATGCTTAGGTGAATTTAAATTAATGTCAAGAATGTTAAGAATGAATTATGGGGGCTGGTGCTGTGGTATATATAGGTTTAAACCTCCACCTACAGAGCTGGCATCTCACTTGGATGCTGGTGTGAGTCCCGCTGCTCCACTTCTGATCCAGCTCTCTGCTATGGTCTGGGAAATCACTGGAAGATGGCCCAAGTCTGTGGGCCCCTGCAGCAATGTGGGAGACCCAGAAGAAGTCTGGCTCCTGGCTTCACTTATTGACCCAGCTCTGGCTGTTTCAGCCATTTGGGGAGTGAACCATGGATGGAAGACCTTTCTCTGTGTCTCTTCCTCTCTAACTCTACATCTCAAATAAATAAATATCTTTAAAGGGGGGAGGGGGGATGAATTATGTGACCTACACTTGATCTTAGTCAAAAGTCCGAGAAGTGATATGTAATCTAATAATTATAGGAAAATTGTTAGTCCAAATAAAAACTAAATGTATCATGTTTATAAAATAATCTCATAATTTTCCCACTAATCAAGTACCTATTTTGTGCAGAGAATATGCTGTATTATTATATTTTATAAACAGAAAAGCTAATATAATTTTGATGTAGAATAAGAAGTTAGTGGACATATTATATTAAGATACTGCAAAACTACAATAGCTAATTATGCCATTGGGAGAAGCTCAGATAAGCCTCCATAGGAGTGTGGAGGCCGTAGCCTGGGTAGTGCTGAAAGTGGTGTATCAGCTCAATAATGTGCCTCATTACATAAACTGACCTCAGTCCCTTACCATGCAGAAACAACAGCTGTTGGGCTCCAAATCCTGATTCTTAAGGTCATGGAAGATGCCACATGATTGCTATGCCAGACATCTGCAATACAGATTTTTATTTGGACAACAGCTAGTGATTCCAGAATCATGTATGTCTAACTGGAAGAATACTACTAGATCAAATTTCTGTCATTATAGTCCACCTTCTGACATTGCCTTATAAAGAAATAATGCTTTCTTAAGTATGCCGCCCCTAGCTCCAACTAGGTTAGATGTCTGGGCTCTGCTCCAGAATGGGACAGTCAACAGAAGAAGATGGACATTGCTTCTGCTCCTCTCCTGATGCCTCCGCAGTTTTGGTATGTGTTTTGTCTGGCCAGTTGTCTGTGTTTTTCTTCCCATCCTCTCTAGACACACCTCCAGGATATCTTCCTACCATGAGCACTCTTACCTTCATTTTCTTGAATTCATTATTCATTCTCCAAATCTGTGATGTCAGTATAGTATATTTTAAAAATAAAGATTTTTATTTACTTGAAAGGTAGAAAGAGACAGACAGACTGACAGAGATCTTCTAATGATGGGTCACACTCCAAGTGCCCACAACAGCTAAGAGTGGGCCAGGCCAAAGCCAGGAGCCAAGCCTCAATCTGTCTGCAAAGCTGGGAGCAGGGCTGCAAGTACATCAGGCTCACCACCTGCTGCCCACTCAAGGCGGGCATTAACAGGAACTAGGACTTGAACAGAAACATTCTGAATGTGGGATTAAGGTGTATCTAGCAGCATCTTTACCAAATATGTCAAATTGTTTATACTTTTTGATCAGTTTAAGAGGCATTTCATGCTTTTAGTGCTAACAATTTTACCACCAATGAGTTTAATGCTCCCTTGCTCCACTACACAATAAAGATGTGAGGATGCGTTAAGGATTGCACCATCTAGATCTCCTCTTAGCATCTAATACATCACCTGCACTTCAGTAGAACACTCACTGAAGATCTGTGAACGGGAGCCAGCACTCTGGCACAGCCATTGGCAGTGCTGGCATCCCATATGAGTGGTTTGAGCTCTGTCTGTTTCATTTCTGATCCAACTTCCTGCTAATGTGCCTGGGAAAGCTGCAGAAGGTGGCCCAAGTGCTAGGGCCCTTTGCCACCACATGGGAGACCCAGATGAAATTCCAGGCTTTGAAGCCAAGCCCTTTGGGGTCATTTGGGGAGTGAATCAGTGGAAGGATGATCTCTCTCTCTCTGTTTCTCCTGTTTTCTCTGTAACTTTGCCTTTCAAATAAATCTTTTATTTTAAAAGATGTTAATGAATAAAATATGTAAAATCAAAATTAAGCTCAAGGTTAATTAACGTCTCTCTACAGTAACACTAGTTAAATCTCTGTTAGGGGAGTACTGTTACATTATCCCCATTGCAGAGATGAGGAAACTGCAGTACAGAAAGGTCAACCTCAGAAGGAGTAAAGGTTGGAACTGGATTTAAAATATAGATAGAGGGCCAGTGTTGTGGTGCAGCAGGTTAAGACACCTGTGACACTGGCATCCCATGTGGGTGCTGGGGTTCATGTCCCGGCTGCTCCACTTCTGATCCAGTTCCCTGGTAATGTGCCTGGAAAAGCAGTGGAGGGTGGCCCACATATTTGGACCTCTGCCAGCCACGTGGTTGATGCAGATGAACTCCTGGCTCCCGGCTGTGGCCTGGCTCAGCCCTGGCTGATGCAGCCATCTGGGGGAGTGAACCAGTGATACAAGAACCCTCTCTGTCTCTCCCTCTCTCTCTGTAACTCTGCCTTTCAAATAAATGATTAATAAAACAAACAAACCCAACACAGATTAACTTCAAAATCTAGTCTTTGGGGTGGAAGCTGTGTTGCGATGATTAAGCTCCTTGGGAGATTGCATCCTATATTGCAGAGCCTGGGATTGGGTCTCATCTCTGCTTCTGATCCAGCTTTCTGCTAATGTTCTGGGAGGTAGCAGATAATGGCCCAAGTACTAGGTTCCTGCCACCCACGTGAGGAAGACCTGGATGAAGTTCTGGGCTCTTGGCTTCAGGCTGGCACAGCCTCAGCTATTGCAGGCATTTCAGGAATGAGCCAAAAGACAGAAGATCTCTCTCCCTGCCTTTCAAGTAAATTAATTAATCTTTTTAAAAATTTCATTTTTCCAACACAGTATCCTGCCTCTCAACTCGATCTTATTCCCACACTTTCTTATCTGAATTCATCTTCATTTATATCTTGGTTGTCTTTTGTCTTCAGAGCAAGAGAGGACGTGCAGTTTAGCAAGGGAGGGTTGAGTAAGGAATACAGTTTTTCTGTTAGACCTATGGCACAACATGTCAAGTCACTACAAAAATAAAATGGTAAAGTTACTCCAAGTAGGTTTAGTCCAAAAAGCTCAGCAGAACAGTCCATTATGCAGTTCTGTCAGCAGTAAGAAAAGACTCCAATGAGACTATTATCAGATTTGCTAGGCCTCTCTATTATACTGTACAGTCCTTTCTGTAGCCTCTTAAGCATTTTTCACATTTTAATAAACATTTTTGTGTCACTTTCACCACCATCAAAAAAGATTACAATTTATTTCAAAATAAATCTTAGTACAGACACAGAAATGTCAATCATTACAGCACAAATATATAATTTAATTAGAAAAGATGCTACAAGTAGTTATCTTCCTATGTAATGCTTTTTAGCTTTAAACAACACTACAGTTTGTTGTTCTAAATATGTAAACCCAAATGAAATTAAAACAACCGCTCATCCCAACATCAGGGTAAGTCCATGAAGGGTAAGTTTATGAAGTGCAGGGGAGTTTGCTTTAACCTGAATCTGCAGGGACCACTGCAAGTAATGAAAACACTTCTTAACAGACGTAGTCACTACTCTTTCATCACTTCCCTTGCCCTTCCTGATGTTCGTATGTGGAGTTCTTGTTAGAAAGAGATTTTGCCTCAGTTCAGTTCTGTAGTCCTGGAGGTCAGGAGACTCACATGGCACTGGGCATTGTGACACAGCAGGCACACGACACCCACATCACACACTGGAGTCCCAGAGGTTGAGACTTACCTCCCTTTCCTATCCAGCTGCCTGCTGATGCACCTGGGAGGTAGCAGATGATGGACCACATGGGAGACCCAGATGGAGTTCCTGGCTTCTACCTGGTCAGCCCTGGCTCCTGTGGGCATGCAGGGAGTGAACCAGCACACAGATCTCTCTTAGACCAAGTTCCAAAATGGCAGAGTACAGAAGGAACTTACTGCTCTAATCTAGGAGAAGATAGTTTTTAAAAACTGGAGATAGTGTAGCTTCAGGGAAGAGTTAGGGAAAAAAATGGCAGAAGAAACTTCAACCAAATTAGAGGGACACAGTGGACCCACATGGAGGGCACCCAAGGCTCAAGACTCCAGCAGGTTTAATCGACACTATAGAACTTTCCATCCTACAATTGCAGAATACACATTATTCTCAGCAGTGCATGGAAATTTCTCTAGAATTGACCACAAACTAGGCCATAAAGAAAGTCTCAGTGAATTTAAAAAACTGAAATCATACCATGCATCTTCTTGGACTACAATGTAATGAAGCTGGAACTCAGAAATGTAGGAATCTCTAGAGCATATGCAAACACTTGGCGACTGAACAACATGCTCCAGAAAGAACAGTGGGTCATAGAAGAAATCAAAAGAGAAATAAAATCTTTCTGGAAACCAATGAAGATGACAATACAACATATCAAAATTTATGGGATACAGCAAAAACAGTGTTAAGAGGAAAGTTTATAGCAATAGGTGCCTACATCAAGAAATTAGAAAGGCACCAAGTAAACAAGCTATCAATGCATCCCAAGGATCTAGAAAAACAAGAGCAAACCAAACCCAAAACTAATAGGAGAAAAGAAATAATTAAAACTAGAGAAGAAATCAACAAAATTGAGTCCAAAAACAATAAACAATACAGGAGATCAGCAAAATGAAGAGCTGGTTTTTTGAAAAAATAAAATTGACACACCTTTGGCCCAACTAACTAAAAAAAGGAGAGAAAAGACCCAAATCAATAAAATTAGAGATGAAAAAGGAAATGTAACAACAGATACCACAGAAATAAAAAGAATCATCAGAAATTACTACAACGAGTTGTAGACCAACAAACTGGGAAACCTAGCAGAAATGAATAGATTCCTGACACATACAACCTACCTAAATTGAGCCATGAAAACACAGAAAACCTAAACAGACCCATAACCAAGAAGGAAACTGAATCAGTAATAAAGGCCCTCCCAACAAAGAAAAGCCCAGGACTGGATGGATTCACTGCTGAATTCTATCAGACATTTAAAGAACAACTAACTCAATTTTTTCTCAAGTTATTCAAAACAACTGAAAGGGAGGGAGGCTTTCCAAATTCTTTCTATGGAACCAGCATTATCTTAATTCCTAAACCTGAAAAAGATCCAACAGAGAAAGAGAATAGCAGACTAATTTCCCTGATGAACAGACACAAAAATCTTCAACAAAATTCTAGCCAATCAAATCCAACAACACATCAGAAAGATCATCCCCATACCAAGTGGGATTTATCCTTGGTATGCAGGGATGGTTCAGCATTTGCAAATCAATCAATGTGATACATCACATTAACAAACTGCTGAACAAAAACCATATGATTATCTCAGCAGATACAGAGAAAACATTTGTTAAAATAAAGCACTCTTTAAGGATGAAAATCTAAGCAAACTGGGTATAGAAGGCACATTCCACAACACAATCAATGCAATTTATGACAAACCCATGGCCAGCAACATACTGAATGGGGAAAAGCTGGAAGCATTCCCACTGAGGTCCAGTACCAGGCAGGGATGCACACTCTCACCATTGCTATTCAATGTAGTACTGGAAATTTTAGTCAGAGCCATTAGGCAAGAAAAAGAAGTCAAAAGAATCAATACAAACTGGGAAGGAGGAAGTCAAACTAACCCTATTTGCAGATGACATGATTCTTTATATCAGGGTTCTAAAGAGCTCCACTAAGAGACTACTGGAGAGGCTGGTGCTGTGGTGCTGCAGGTTAAAGCCCTGGCCTAAAGCGCCGGCAACCCATATGGGCGCTGGTGCTAGTCCCGGCTGCTTCTTGTCTGACCCAGCTCTCTGCTACGGCCTGGGAAAGCAGTAGAAGATAGCCAAGTCCTTAGGCTCCTGCACCCATGTGGGAGATGCGGAAGAAGCTCCAGGCTCCTGGCTCCCAGCTTTGGATCAGCACAGATCTGGCTATTGTGGCCATTTGGGGAGTGAACCACAGGATGGAAGACATTTTTCTCTGTCTCTACCTATCTCTGTAACTCTGCCTTTCAAATAAACAAAAATAAATCTTTTATTTATTTTTTTTAAAGAGACGGGGCCAGGGCTGTGGTGCAGCGGGGTGAAGCCCTGGCCTAGAGTGCCGGCATCCCATGTGGGTGCTGGTTTGGGTCCTGGCTGCTCCACTTCCATTCAGGCTCTCTGCTGTGGTCTGGGAGAGCAGCAGAAGATGGCCCAAGTCCTTGGGAGCCTGCACCCATGTTGGAGACCAGGAAGAAGCTCCTGGCTCCTGGCTTTGGATGGGCACAGCTCCGGCCATTGCGGCCATCTGGGGAGTGAACCAATAGATGGTAGACCTCTCTCTCTGTCTCTACCTCTCTCTATAACTCTGTCTTTCAAATAAATAAAATAAAAATAAATAAATAGACTATTGGAACTCATAGAAGAGTTTGGTAAAGTAGCAGGCTATAAAATCAATACACAAAAATCAACAGCCTTTATATACAGACAATGCCACGGCTGAGAAAGAACTTTTAAGATCAATCCTATTCTCAATAGCTACAAAAAAATCAAATACCCTGGAATAAACTTAACCAAGGATATCAAAGATCTCTACGATGAGAATTAGAAAACATTAAAGAAAGAAATAGAAGATAAAAAAAAGGAAAAATCTTCCATATTCATGGGTTCGAAGAATCAATATCATCAAAATGTCCATTCTTCCAAAAGCAATTTACAGATTCAATGCGATACCAATCAAAATACCAAAGACATTCTGCTTAGATATGGAAAAAATGATGCTCAAATTCATATGGAGGCACAGGAGACCTTGAATAGCAAAAGCAATCTTATACAACAAAAACAGAGCCAGAGGCATCACAATTCCAGATTTCAAGAAATACTCCAGGGTAGTTGTAATCAAAACAGCTGAATGGTACTGGTACAGAAACAGATGGATAAACCAAAGGAACAGAATAGAAACACCAGAAATCAATCCAAACATCTACAACCAACTTACATTTGACCAAGGAGCTAAAACCAATTCCTGCAGCAAGGACAGTCTATTCAACAAATGGGGCTGGGAAAACTGGATTTCCACATGCAGAAGTATGAAGCAAGACCCCTACCTTACACTGTATACAAAAATCCACTCAAAATGGGTTAAAGATCTAAATCTACGACCCGACACCATCAAATTATTAGAGAACATCAGAGAAACTCTATAAGATATTGGTACAGCGAAAGACTTCTTGGAAAATGTGGGGAGCAACTCGGACTAGACTAAGTTACTGGAATTAAGACTTATTCTATGCATCTGCTCTCCCACAATATGGCGCTGAGAAGGGAGAAACAGCTTCTACACAGCTGCCTCCAGTTCAACCAATAAACTGTAGGACTTACTCCTGATTGGAGGAGAGCAGCGTACTCGGCGTATGGGCAGCCGAGTTGGGATTGGTGGAAGAGGACTATAAAGGAGGAGAGAGACAACATGCACCAGGAACATCTAAGGGGAACATCTATCTGAAGGAACACCTGTGCAGCCCCCGAGAGAGCCGGCCGGCGGTGTGCCGATCCCCCGCGGAAGTGGGGAAAGTGGCTAGGGGGAACCGCCCTTCCACGGAGGTGGAAGGGACGGTAGCCAACCCGGGAAGAACCAGCAGCAAACCCGGGGAGGGCCGAGGAGACGAAAGAACAGCGCAGGGTCCTGTGTCGTTCCTTCACGAAGACGGGGAGCGACAGAAAAGACCCCAGAGGCTCAGGCAGCCAAAGCCGAAATTAACAATTGGGATTACATCAAATTGAGAAGTTTCTGCATGGCAAAAGAAACAGTCAGGAAAGCGAAGAGGCAACTGACAGAATGAGAGAAATTATCTGCAAACTATGCAGTCTGATAAAGGATCAATAGCCAGAATCTACAAAGAGATCAAGAAACTCCACAATAACAAAACAAACAACCCACTTATGAGATGAGCCAAGGACTTAAACAGACATTGTTCAGAAGAGGAAATCCAAATGGCCAACAGATACATGAAAAAATGTTCAGGATCACTAGCTTTCTGGGAAATGTAAATCAAAACCATAATGAGGTTTCACCTCACCCTGGCTTTCATACAAAAAAACAAACAACAAATGCTGACAAGGATGTGGGGGAAAAGGCACACTAAACAACTGTTGGTGGGAATGCAAACTGGTAAAGCCACTATGGAAGACGTAGTGGAAGATACCTCAGAAATCTGAATACAGGCCTACCACACGACCCAGACATCCCACTCCTTGGAATTTA